GGAGCAGGTCTACCATGCCTGTGCCATGCAGATCGTCAAGGGTGAGGGCCTGGGGCTTGCTGGGGGGGCTGGGTGGGTCCCCGGAGGGGTCCTCACTGGGGGACCCTTCTCCAGGGACACCCAGTCTGTGGGGGTTTTGGAGGGGGGTGACAGGGACCGGTGGAGGGTGGTGACAGGGACAGGTTGGGGGGTGATGCTGGCAAGGGGAGATCTGCAGGGGGTGCTTGGGGGTATCCAGCAGCTCTTGGGGTCTCTGCACGACTTTGGGGGGCTCACTTCAATCTCCAGGGGTTCTGGGGTTGTCTGTGAGGTCCTTTGGGGTGTCTCAGGGGTCCTTGGACATTGCTGGTGAGCTTGGAGGTGATCTCAGGTACCTGGAGGGGGTCAGGGAGCCCTTGGGGATCTCAGGGGAGCCCTTATGGGTTTGGGGGGGGTCTGTGAGGTCTCTGAGGGTCCTAGGAGTCCTCAGGGGTTCCTGGGGGTCCTGGAGGGGCTTCTGCCCACCCTCACCCCTCCCCACAGATGTGCTCGCTGGGTATAATGGCACCATCTTCGCCTACGGGCAGACATCATCGGGCAAGACCCACACCATGGAGGTGAGGGGGCCAGGGGCCCCTTGGGGAGGGGGCAGCAGCGCCTGGGCTCTGGCACCCCCCGGGTGCTGACCATCCCCCACACCCCTCAGGGCAAGCTGCACGACCCCCAGCAGATGGGCATCATCCCACGCATCGCCCAGGACATCTTCAACCACATCTACTCCATGGACGAAAACCTTGAGTTCCACATCAAGGTGGGAACTGGGAGGGACTGGGAGCACTGGGAACACTGGGAGGACTGGGAGGTCAGGTCCTGACCACCCCCAATTCCCTCCTCCTAGGTTTCTTACTTTGAAATTTATCTGGACAAGATCCGGGACCTGCTGGACAGTGAGTGGGGGAGCACTGGGACATACTGGGTGGATATTGTAATGCATTATGAGGCACTGGATGGCACTGGGAGCTCCAAGGGCATGCTGGGGGGTCACTAGCCCCCCAGCCACCTCATCCCGTGTCCCCCCTACCAGTGACCAAGACCAACCTGTCGGTGCACGAGGACAAGAACCGGGTTCCCTATGTCAAGGTGAGGAGGGGCCTGGAGGGTCCCTTGGGTGAGGGA